TAACATCTTCTTTTATTCTTTTCATGTAACAATGAGAGGTCGTTGTCGCATTAGTTGGCTTTCTTAGTTTTATTGGTGTGGTTTCATTGTCGCTAGTAAATTTCGTTAGTGGCTTTTTTTCGTTTGGTATTCGAAAAATCCTTGATTTATAATAATTATAAGAAATTGAATCAAATATAACATCAGAATTAAGAAAATTGGTGAAACTTATTGTATTATGGGTAAATGCATTTATATTGAAAAATCGTGGGGTTACGAGCATAAAGAATTTGTATTAAGAAAAGCAACTATTTAATGCGAAAATGCAATTGACAATTAATTACGATCTTTTGTCATCACGAATTACTTCATTCTTACTTAATTGTAGAAATATTAAACGATTAACCTACTACACAAATGTAATAAAACATGATTTTGTATTTAAATAAATTTTTTTATTTTTTATTACTGTATTAATAAAAATATTACATTTACTACTTTACATTTACTACTTTACATTTACTACTGTACATTTACTATTGTACTATTTTAAAATTACATTGCTCTGCGCTTTCATACATAAATGCAATAGTAATAATAAAGATAATAAATAACACCTTTGAGAAAAATATCCCCAATTATACTTCATTAGTATTAATGTTATTTTCAGCTAATATATTTCTGATTTCTTGAAGAATATTCACTAAATCTTCACGGGACTTATTCGATAAACCACGAAAGCACAATCGATCTGAATCGCCTAAAAAAGGAGCTAAAGTATTAATAATAGATAAAATTTGTGATTTTGTTAAAGAGTTTTCAGTTTTCTGAAGCTCTGCCTCGTCGCATGTTATGGGAATTGGACGCCAAATGCCTAATGGTATTTTGTTAATTAATTTTGCTCTAATAAATTCAATTCTCTTTATACATGTGATTTCACTAAATCTTATCATTTCGTCACTTAATGTTAATTCCTCACTTAGATTTTGAAAAGCACAATTATCGGCATTTGGATTTACAAATTGGGCTTTTCTTATCTGAACCCGAAATCGACATGATTCAGTGGTAAAACTAGGACGTGCACGAGGCCCATTGGTTTCACTCTCGGAATATCCTATGATTTTAAAAATATTAGTACGCAATTTCGCAAATTTAGTACAATTACGTGCTGCAATTTCCCAGTGTCGTTGTAAAGGTATTGGAGGAATTAATGATTTTAATGATTTGTTAATTTCTTCAAGTATTGCATCATGGCCTTGATGTTGATTTGAAAGTTTGGACCGTGATAGTCGGAGCATCTTTTAAAAAACTGAAGTTGATTTTCATTCCGATATCCTTGGCACTTTGCAAAATCTTTTAGATCAATATCCCAATTTAATTCGACGAATGCCTTTAACATATTTATTTCTTCGTGAAGGGCACCCGGAATTAATATGAGCCAAGGAAAATCTTTTTTTATTTTTTGTATATGATGATACGGTACTCCGTCACAGGTAACTGCAACCCATTTACGGCTACCATCTTTAACTCCAGATATTTCTTCAATATGCTCAAGAACTTTTCTAACGTTAGCAATCGAGTTTGGATTAATTCCTATTGGATCAGGAATAAATATTTATAGTGTATGGACTTCACTTTCTGGAACTAATCGTTGTTTAAATATGCATAAAGAAATGGTAAGTGATTTTTCGGCGGCATTTATAGTCTTATGTTGTTCGTCGATTATCTCAGAAATCATTGGTAATTTGCTATAGCAATTAGGGCAAACTCGTTTCTTATTGTTGATATTAGAAGTTTGACAAACCGGACATTTTTTCATATATCCTATTTGGCTTTGATGATGAACCAATTCGTCGATTGTATTCGTGTCTTGATTTTTCTCAATGCAAAGTTTATCTAAAATAGAAGAAAGATAATTAGTAAGTTCCACATTAATTTCACTATTCATACCTGAAGATAGATGAAATAACACTTCATATTGCTTTTCATCAAGTTCAGTATATAGCCAAGGATTTTCATTCTGAATATTATTACTTTGGCTATAATTA